GAGGGAGCCGGGAAGGGGGAAAGGGCAGAAATCACTAAAGACACTGGATTAAAGGGGACGCTTTTGTTCGACGGCGCACTAATAGCGGCAGCCAATAAAACTCCGCACGCCCCCTCGTTTTGGGGCGGAGTGGGTGGGAGGGGGGGAAAGAGAAAGAGAGAGAGCGCAAGTGAGAGAGAGAGAGAGACAGGAACTGGGCTTGTCAGTAATCCCCTCCCAACGTGGGTCTCGGAGGGAGAAGGGAGGGAGTTTATCAATGGGACAGAAGCAGAAGTTCAAGGACAAGGGCGCCGTTAGGTGGGTCTCTCTCTGTCTCTCTCTCTTTCTTTCTCTCTCTCTTTCTTTCTCTCTCTCCCTCCCTCTCTCTCTCTTGCCCCCTCTCTCGCCCCTTGCTCTGTCGCCGGCCCTCTCCTTTCTCCAGAACAGCGTTGGGGCTCCCCGGGAAGGGGGAAGGCGACAGATTGAAGGCGACAGCTAGCGTGCGATTGTTTTCAAAAGCAAGCGAGGACCGGCGCGAAGGGAGCTAGCTAGCCACGCGCCTCTGGGGCGCGTCCCCTCGGAGGACAGGAGACAGAGTTGGGGGGTCTGGCTGAGTCTAGGCACGGAATAGCGGACCTGGAGAAAGGGATGGAGCTGAAAAGGAAGAAGGCGTGATCAATATTGATGAAAGGAAGTAGGGGAACAGGGGCTTTGAATCAAAGAGAGCCCAGAACTTTCTGGGTTGCTTTGAGTTCATTCTTCTATTACAATTTCAAAATTAATTTATACTGGGAAGAAAGAGACAGAGGAAACACCCAAGACGACCCGTGCCTAGTTCAAGTCAAGGCACAAGGCAGAAAAAGCAAGCCTTTCGTCCCACCTTTTTTGCGATGTCATTTTGGCGACGAGTTCCCATCCTTTCCTTCTCCCCTAAATTTAGCCCTTTTCTGTCTTGGGGTTTGTTATTGTTTTCTAATTATTAAAGATTGGCTTCTAAAGAGCGCAAAATGCCCACAGGAGCCTGCCTGCCTCCCTTCCACGCCTGTTTTCTTTGAATAATTGCTGCCTGACGCAAAACGCCCGTGGGGAAAATATTTATTAAATGGAAACCATTACCCTCGAATCCCCAAAGAGGCCAGGTTCTTTAAGGGCGGTTTTTTTTCCCCTTTGTGCACCTGCCTAGTTTAAAACTGGCCCGACATCGGCCTTTTCCCTCCCCCCTCCCTCCTCCCAGCACCCTCGTAGCCTCTTCTATCCGCCCTTCATTTGCTTTCACTTTCTTTTAAAGAAAAGAAACAGTCTTTTCCCAACAAACACATTAGAGTTCGGTTGAGTTTCTCGGTTTTTCAGCTGGTCTCTGGATCTGTTTTGTATCTGAGAAAGATAGTTTTTAAAAGATAGGTACGTGGGGCCCATTTTAATCGTCCATCAGAATGAGTAAATGTGTATTTACACTACTACTACTACTACTACTACTACTACTACTACTA